TGCTGGAAAGGGGGGGGGGGTGGTAAGGTGGAACGGGGTACTAAACGTGTATGGGAAATAATAATGACGATGGGCGGGTTACAGGGGATCTACGTTTGTAACGATGATGCGTGTAGTCGTCGTGGTGCTAACGTTAAAGAAAAAAAAAAAAAATAATAATAATAATAATAAAAAGGAAAGGACAGTGACGATCGAGGGAAGTGTAAGGGGGAGAGGGGACGGGGCAAGAGCAGTATAGAGAAGACGAAGGTGCGTAAGAACCGAGGGACAAAGTAAAGATCAGTGTTTGATCGAGTAGAGAGAAACCGAACGTTCCATGCGAACCAAAGTCACCAGTGTCCGCCGGGACGAACGCGTTTCCATTATTCTTCATGATTTTCTCCTTCTTCTTCCAACTGGTCGAGCGCCCGGGAGCGTCGCGAGTCTCGAGGATCTCTGGGTGGGACTCGCCAAAATTCGGCGAGACTCGCCACGCCCGTCCGCGGGATCGGCTCGCGAAAAAAAAAAAAAAAAAAAAAAAAAAACGAACCGCACGCGCGCGCTTTGCCGCACACGATAAGTATATAATATAATCATCACCCCATGTGCATCTCATTCTCTCGTTATCTTTTAACTTCAGTATTCGCAATATACATTCACGCATTCGCGCCACACTCTCGCGCTACAAGTGTACAATCGTCGCTTCCGATCATCATCATCATCATCATCATCGTCATCGTCATCGCCACCGGATCATCGACAGTAGAGAGAAAGAGGTTCGAGCCCCCCAGCTTAAGATAAGGGCGCTGCTGCTGCTTTGGCCACTGCCTCTGGCTGTTCGGGCTGCACCTGCGCCGCCACCGCCTGCGCGGGCGCCGCCGACTTGCCGGTCACCACCTCCTCCGCCTCCTCCTTCTTCGCCTTGATCGGCGCCAGCTTCTTCTTGCAACTGTCCTTCTTGGGCTGCTCCTCGCTCGAGTCGTCCTCCTCGCTGCTGCCGCAGTCGCACTCCTCGCTGCCGGCGCAGCTGCTGGCCTGCGTCGTCGGCTTCTCCTCCTCCTTCTTGGCCATGGGCTCGGGGCTCTTCGGTTCCTCCTCCGCCTTGACGGGCTCTACCGCTACCACCGCCGCCGTGGCCTCGTCCTTGACCTCCTGGGGCTTGGGCAGCTCCTCGGCGCTCTTGGCCGTCTTCTCGGCCACCACCGGCGACACCTTCTGGGGCTCCTCGGCCGGGGTGACGGGGGCCGTCGCCTTCTCGGGCTCTACGGCGGCGAGCGTGGCCGTGTCCTGGGAGCGCTGCTCCTTGGCGGGCTCCTGGGCAGGCTGGGCGGGGGTGGGCTCGACGGCGGTGGCGGCTACGACGGGCTCGGTCTTGATGGGTTGGGGCTCCTCGGGTTTGGGGGCCTCGGCGACTACGGCGTCGGTGGCGAGTTTGTTGATGCTCTCGGCGGCGGGCACGGGGGCGGGCTCCTCGGTCTTCTTGGGCTCGGCCTCGGGGAGAGCGGCGGCGGCGACTACGGGCTCGGTCTTGACGGGCTCGATGGGCTTGTCCTCGGCGATGACGGCCTCAGTGGGGACGACGGCCGGGGCGGTACTGGCGGGCTGTATCTCGGGCTTCTTCTCGAGCTTGGCGGCTTCCTCGGCCTCGCGGGTCACTCGCTCGGGGGCGATCGGGCTCGTGGCGACTTCCTTCTTTTCGGCGACGATCGGCTCGTCGATCTTTTTGGCTTGGGCGGGCTCTGCCTCGGAGCTAACGGCGCTGGCGATCGGCTGCACGGGCTCGGCGACCACAGGGGCCACCTCGGGCTCCTTGGGCTCCTCGGCTTTCTTGGTCTCCGCGGCGGCCGTTACAACCTGCGGCCCATCCCCGCCCGTGTTAGTATACACCCATTGGTTTTGCAATGGAAAGGAATTGTGTGAGGCAAGACACCTACCTGCTCGGAGGGGGCGAGCTTGAGTTCCTCCTTGGGTTCGTCGGCCTTCTTCTCGGGCTCGGGGGCGGCCTTTTTCTCCTCCTCAGGCTTCTTGGGCTCCTCGAGGTCGATTTTTTTCTCGGGCAGGGGCTCGGCGGACTTGGGGGCGGGCTCCTCGATCTTCTCGTCCTTCTGGGACACAACGAGCGGCTTGTCCTCGGCGATGGCGGCCGAGCGCGGCTGCTCGATCGGTTGTTGCGGGGCAATTTGGGCGGGCTCGGTGGCTGGCAGCTTGGCCGGCTCCTCGGCCTGCACGGGCTTCTCCTCCTGCAGGGACTTTTCGAGTGGCACGACACCCATCACCGGCTCCGGCTTCTTCTCCTCGGCCACTGGCATCGCCCTCGCGACCGCCAGGATCACCAACAAGAGTCCCAAGAACTTCATGATATTGTCTGCAATAGTAAGCACAACGAGTTGGGGGCTCATTTAGTCGTTGAATGCGTTTTGAGGCTTTTTTTTTTTTTTTTTTTTTTTTCATAAAAGTGTATAATGTAATATACGCAAAGGGCATCAATTTCGGTAATTGACTACGGCGCGACGCGGGGCTCTTTTGAAGTTTGCCCGCGTGTAGGTGCGCGAAATTGGTGGACCAGTGCGTTCGCCGCCGCTGGCTCCAAAGCCGTATCGATTGATGGAAGTTTGGTAGGTATGTATATAGGTACATGCATATATACCTAGATGGGACGGGAGGGAGCAGGTAGTCGGGGAACCCTCGGGTGTTTCGCAGTCCCGAGCGACGACGGATGAATTTATGATTTTTACCCTCGGTAGAGTTATGAAACGTTGTAATACGATGAGAAAAGAGAAAAAAAAAAGTGTAATATTAATATGGATTTTTTTTTTTTTTTTTTTAATACTTATTTACAACCATATACAGTTTATCCGTTGTGAGCTATTACGACGGCAAAGATGATGCGTATCGCGTAATTATAAAGCGGGACGAGGTGGCAAATGTACAAGGCGAGGAAAGCTTTCAATAGGAGATCGAGAGACGGTGATATGGAAACAAGGAGATAGCCTGTGCGGGCTGACATTGAAAGGAAGGCATCAGAGGGACAAATAAGGTGCTCGTGTGCCTTTTTTTTTTTTTTTATCTCTTTACGCACTCGTATAATGGCAGGATGCATCGAGCGGTGCCGTAACAACCCGTGAAAACGCGCAGAAAGTGAAAACGCGCGCGTCCCATTTAAAAACATCAGCCTTCGCTTGGCCGGTCGATCGACGCGTGCAGTGCGCCACACTGTAATTTTTTTTTTTTTTTTTTTTTTTTTTTTGTACGCCCATACGCAGTGCCGGTCTTCGATGCCGGTTTTGTTCGATACATGCTGTGTGTAGTCGTTTTCGTATACACAATACCACTTTACTGACCCATCAACGTTAATCGACAAATTGCCGGTTTGGTGCAATGTCGTACGGGTATGTATACTTATAATGTATACGCACAGCAGCCTGAGATTTTTCCTTTCTTTTTTTGTTGCTATTGCGATTGGTTTCATCGAGTTTTTCCTTTGTGCGTACATTGTATACGGTTTTATGAAAAAGAAAAAAAAAGTTGTTGCGGTGAAAAAATTGAAATAAAATATCGTGTAATTGATTTGGACAACAAAGCTAAAAACACTGCCGTTGGGGATGGGTGTATTGTATCCGAGAGCCACACAAGCGCGTCCTTTTGGGCTTCCCTCCAATCAATTACCACCACTACACTTTCATTGTGCAATTTTAAATAAAAAAAAAAAAAAAAAAAAATTTCCGTCCCAACCAACAAATCAAATCAAATCATCCGCAAGTGGGGGAAAAAAAAAAAGTATTCCCCGCGCCACACTCTCGCGCTACAAGTGTACAATCGTCGCTTCCGATCATCATCATCATCATCATCATCGTCATCGTCATCGCCACCGGATCATCGACAGTAGAGAGAAAGAGGTTCGAGCCCCCCAGCTTAAGATAAGGGCGCTGCTGCTGCTTTGGCCACTGCCTCTGGCTGTTCGGGCTGCACCTGCGCCGCCACCGCCTGCGCGGGCGCCGCCGACTTGCCGGTCACCACCTCCTCCGCCTCCTCCTTCTTCGCCTTGATCGGCGCCAGCTTCTTCTTGCAACTGTCCTTCTTGGGCTGCTCCTCGCTCGAGTCGTCCTCCTCGCTGCTGCCGCAGTCGCACTCCTCGCTGCCGGCGCAGCTGCTGGCCTGCGTCGTCGGCTTCTCCTCCTCCTTCTTGGCCATGGGCTCGGGGCTCTTCGGTTCCTCCTCCGCCTTGACGGGCTCTACCGCTACCACCGCCGCCGTGGCCTCGTCCTTGACCTCCTGGGGCTTGGGCAGCTCCTCGGCGCTCTTGGCCGTCTTCTCGGCCACCACCGGCGACACCTTCTGGGGCTCCTCGGCCGGGGTGACGGGGGCCGTCGCCTTCTCGGGCTCTACGGCGGCGAGCGTGGCCGTGTCCTGGGAGCGCTGCTCCTTGGCGGGCTCCTGGGCAGGCTGGGCGGGGGTGGGCTCGACGGCGGTGGCGGCTACGACGGGCTCGGTCTTGATGGGTTGGGGCTCCTCGGGTTTGGGGGCCTCGGCGACTACGGCGTCGGTGGCGAGTTTGTTGATGCTCTCGGCGGCGGGCACGGGGGCGGGCTCCTCGGTCTTCTTGGGCTCGGCCTCGGGGAGAGCGGCGGCGGCGACTACGGGCTCGGTCTTGACGGGCTCGATGGGCTTGTCCTCGGCGATGACGGCCTCAGTGGGGACGACGGCCGGGGCGGTACTGGCGGGCTGTATCTCGGGCTTCTTCTCGAGCTTGGCGGCTTCCTCGGCCTCGCGGGTCACTCGCTCGGGGGCGATCGGGCTCGTGGCGACTTCCTTCTTTTCGGCGACGATCGGCTCGTCGATCTTTTTGGCTTGGGCGGGCTCTGCCTCGGAGCTAACGGCGCTGGCGATCGGCTGCACGGGCTCGGCGACCACAGGGGCCACCTCGGGCTCCTTGGGCTCCTCGGCTTTCTTGGTCTCCGCGGCGGCCGTTACAACCTGCGGCCCATCCCCGCCCGTGTTAGTATACACCCATTGGTTTTGCAATGGAAAGGAATTGTGTGAGGCAAGACACCTACCTGCTCGGAGGGGGCGAGCTTGAGTTCCTCCTTGGGTTCGTCGGCCTTCTTCTCGGGCTCGGGGGCGGCCTTTTTCTCCTCCTCAGGCTTCTTGGGCTCCTCGAGGTCGATTTTTTTCTCGGGCAGGGGCTCGGCGGACTTGGGGGCGGGCTCCTCGATCTTCTCGTCCTTCTGGGACACAACGAGCGGCTTGTCCTCGGCGATGGCGGCCGAGCGCGGCTGCTCGATCGGTTGTTGCGGGGCAATTTGGGCGGGCTCGGTGGCTGGCAGCTTGGCCGGCTCCTCGGCCTGCACGGGCTTCTCCTCCTGCAGGGACTTTTCGAGTGGCACGACACCCATCACCGGCTCCGGCTTCTTCTCCTCGGCCACTGGCATCGCCCTCGCGACCGCCAGGATCACCAACAAGAGTCCCAAGAACTTCATGATATTGTCTGCAATAGTAAGCACAACGAGTTGGGGGCTCATTTAGTCGTTGAATGCGTTTTGAGGCTTTTTTTTTTTTTTTTTTTTTTTTTTTTTTTTTTTTTTTTTTTTTTT